CACTTCAACACAAATAAATGACTTGTACCATTAGAGGTTTAAATAATGTAATGTATTTCATGCTCAGCCTGAAGCTGGATTCCAATGAAGTTGCTAATGCACGTAATGATTAAGTGTAACTCAAATACTAACTGTGTTGTTGAAAACATGACAGGCAATAATTTGGTCTATTATATTCTGCCATTTAATTGCCTAGTACAGACATTCTCTGACACGTTATGAAGCAATGATTTACAATTATTCAAGCTGCAAAGGTCAGAAAGTGACATTATAATCATCTACATAGAGATCCCTTCTAATGCACAAAAACTAGGTAATGCCACACACACACACACACACACACACACACACACACAAAGAGTTTTACTGCATTAATAACTTTCTATTTAAGGTTTCTTGAAGCAACTAAGAATAAACAGTTCATAAGCACATTTGTACACAATAGAAAATGTCTAGAGTCATTTCGTGAACCCAGAGGTGAAACATTTTGAAAATACCCTATTCTATACTGATTAGGGAAATCCTACTCAAGGATTTAATCAAAACACAACACCCAAGACAATGAGGAAATGACAATCCCTAAATCATGCATATCATGGTCTTTGAGGATATAGACATAAAGGCATAATTTCCTAGGTTTACTAAAAGCACAAGCCACTTACTAGTTTTACACTTTTTAACACACACACAAACAATAATCCATGTTCATCTATTTTAATCCTCTTGTTCTAATGATAAAACAATAACATCACTACTTTTGTAGGCATTTCTTCTTTCTACTTTATCAATACCCTCAAATATTGTAACTATTCAGGTATGGTAAATTATCAATACATGAAGAGAAATGAATAGTAATATTATAAGAAATAATTCTTTAATATGAGAACAGAGAGAAACCAAAAAATAAATAAATAAAAGGAAAAGAAAAGAAAGTGAATGCCAGAATATTAAAGTGAAACACTGAGCAAGCAATTTTAAAAAGAACATAAATCTGAGCAAAAGCAGAAAACAAAAGTAGCTGGGGGCTAGGAGGAGATAAGTCACAGTTATTACACGCTAGTGAAAACAACCCAGAGAGGAAAATAAGCACAAATAAAGTCAGTAACCAAACAGATATTACAAAAGTAGAGAAATAAAGAAAAGGAAGAGAGGAAGAGAAGAAAAACAGTGGTCTACACGTTGCATAATTTATGAATATTGCTAAAAATACTTTTAATCTCAAATTTACCATCAGTGATACTGAGAAACATAGGATAATCCCACAGAACTATAGAAATCAAAAATCAAGAGAATATGAAGTAGCATATACACTAAATCAGCATTTCACAAACACAATTACTGAGAGTATCATGTATACTACTATGTGTATGAATGCACATGTGTATATTTCCACATACTCAAGAGAATCGAAAAAATTTTAAATATTTGATAAAACACTGTCTAACATTACTTTTTTCAACTACTAAGATTTTTTCAAGTTCTTTACTGCTAAAATAACTAAGTGATCAAAGACTTTATTTTTGACTTTTATTTGATATTTTCAAACGCTTGTGCCCCCCCAGATTAATAACTTCTTGTTTTACCCCGACTAAACCCTAAGTCAAATGCATAACAGATTTTCATATTAACTATTCATCAGCTTACTATTATAAGTACACTTATGATCTACAAAATTCCTCACCATCACATTTAGTTATAAGCACACCGTTTAAAAATTGCATTATCCCAGGCCAGAGTGGAAGAACAATGGGTTGGGCACCTGTCTTACAAATGGCCGACCTGGGTTTGATCCCCAGCACCATATCTGGTCCCCAGAGAACAGCCAAGAGTGATCACTGAGTGCCACAGCCAGGGGTAAGGCCTGAGCAAAAAACTATGTGTGTGGCAAAAAAAAAAAAAAAAAAGATGTACGATTTAAATATCATTCCTCCCCAAAGTGAAAGTAAAATAAAAGGCTTTTTAAAGAAGCTATCTATAATATAGTCTCTTAAGCAAGGAAGTGCAAAGCACCCAGTTTCTGAAATTTTCCCCATGACACACGGATATAAACCACAGATGAACAAAACTGAAATCCTGGATTTGGAAGCTTCGTGGGCTCATAGGAGTAGAGCTCTAAGGCAGTCGACCTCTTTGTCAAACTAACTTAAGTCCACGATTCATCGAAGCTAAAATTTGCTGATGAGGAGGGAAAAGGTATCTTAAAATTGACCTTAACGACCCCAAGAAAATTCAGCGAGGCCTCAACAACTGAAACAAGTTCCAAAGGCGGTTTAGTTTTCAGGCACAGGCAGCCCCTCAATGAAGCCTCTACACAGAACGTAAGACGCTCTTCTGACGGGCATCACGATTTGCAGATATAAAGACAAGAAAAGGAATCAAGCCCTGGGAAGCAATCTGAAGCACTGACACGGAACGCAGCAAAACAGAGCTGGTTTTCATCAATTTTACTATGAAATGCCAGGTTTCTCGCAAGGAAGCAAGATGTTACTAAGAAAAACTAGCACGTCTTGAGTCACAATCTCATTTTCAAAACGTACTTACCCCACTTTCTGTACGTAAGACTATTCAATCAAAACTATTCAAGAAACAATTTCTTGCAACTCAAATAATTAAGAGGTAATTAATAAAATCCTAAAGACAGAGCCCAAGGTACCAACTACTGCAGAAAAGAAAACACAGTGAGGACCTTCTGCTCATGACAAAATTATGGAGTTAATGTTCCTGAAAGATCACTTCACCTTTCAGAGCGTGATTTTTTAAAAGGTAAAAATTTATAGCAATTAAAGCTGATGAAGAAATGCAGCATGAGCTGCTTATGTTCAGGAACTAATAGGTCCACTGAGCATTTCTAAGATTATTTAGCCATCAATGATAATGAATTGACATTGTCAGGAACGTTAATGTGCCAATGTGCAGCACTGCCACTAGCCTGAGAGCCAATTCCTGAATTTTTTTTTCTGCTTTTCACTTTTATTTTTGACCTATATGCTGCCCTATCCTTTAGTAACACGTGCAGTGCTGCACAATCCATGATACTTTCTCTGTAAAATTAGAGGGTAGTTGATTCACTGTTGTTCTGCTTGAATCAATAGGCATTGTTCAGTTTAACCCGATTCTTCAGAACTTTCACCTTCTCAGTGAAATTATGTACTCTGTAAAATGCATGATAGTGTAACCTTTTTTTACATGTTCACCAAAAAATTTGGGAGATGTCCTATTTCACAGTCATTTAAAATTCAATGACTCCCCTCGTCAAAGAGAGACAATTTGGGGAAGTGTATCGCTTTTTCTATACGCATCCATACACGTAAGACCTCTATACCAGTCATGTCAGGCTCAACGGAAATGTGTATACGAATCTGCAATTTTTGTGACTAGGAGACTAACCCTCTAGAAGCCATGAGGTGCAACACGCGATTGTGTGTGGTGAGCAGTGAGATAAAGCCAAGTGTGCGCTGTTCAAATGAGACAATGAAAGTCAATCAAGTGTGTTTTGTTCTAATTCTGTGTATGTGAGAAACTGCTCTTCTTCTCTCTCTGGGGTCTTAACAAGCCCAATAAAAAATGAGCAGAATTAGATGTCTAATAGCAGACAAAGAAAACTGTTTACCTTTTTTTGTAGAAATAAGAAAGAACGGCTTAATGCCACCAAACAGTACATTTTCACTGGACTCAGGGCCCTCCTCATATCCTAGAACTCTTACATTAAAAATGGTAAATGAGGTACCTTTAAAATTCCAAGACCTAGAGCAATTAAAATAAACCGTTTGGCACTCGACCCTTGCAGCTAAAATCAGTAGCAACAAAAGTCATTCTCCCACTGATCTTCAGAGGCTTTAGGGCAAAGGCTCATCTTCATTTACTTTAGAGGCAAGTCACTGAACCATCAGTTCTGCCAATGAATAAATCACCGACGACAGCTAATAAAACTGCTTGCAAAGTTATTTGTAAAACTATCTCAAGGGTCAAAAAATGCAGCTGTATTCTATGCAAAATTACAGAATGTTCTGTACAACAGAAAACAAAAGCTGTGTTTTCATCCAGAAGATATTTACACAGTTGAGCCAGTTTTCTTAAAAAACAAACAAACAAACAAAAAACTAGCATTGCATCATTTCGTTGAACCTGTACTATTCTGTAAATTAGTCCTAAGAATTCAGGTTACTCAGGTTCACATAAGACATTTATTATATGCACTTAATTTCTGTAGCATTGTAACATTAAAGCTGCATTTTTTCACTCAGAAATAGGATACCAAAATCCTGCTCAGAATGTCCTAAGAGATACCATGGGTATCATGTCATTTTGAAACCTTTTAAACAATTCTGCTTAATTATTTAGGGTTTTTTTGGTTAAAGTCTCTCAATGCTTTCTATTCAATGCAGCACATTTTAGTGACAATTAAACTCTGCAAATGAGACTTTAAAGAGAAAGAATCATTAACTACAAAAATGGAAAACAAGAAGTTTTGAAATAAAGTTACAAAAACACACATGATACACTGTTTCTTTAAGTTTGAATCAGTAACAAGCCGTGGGAAATTAAATCTGTCTTTTAATTAAATCTTTATCTGCTTTTGTCTGTATAGACTATGTTCAATAAATTTAAAGAGCCATTAATGTGATTAAAATTAAAGCAGTATAGCAAAAAAGAAAAATACATGTACACTTCTAAAGCTATATTATGTATTTTTTATGTCTTTAAGTGGAATTTACAGTTCTCTCTGGCAATGTGAATGAACATCCTATAATTTAGTCAATTTACAGATTACAGGTTCAAATTGACCTTGTAGCCCATAAAATTGCTCATCTGCAGTACAGGATTAGGAGTCGGAGAAGAATGTCATAACTGTATTTAAGGAATTTACCATAACAATGGAAAGGAGGGTACGCGCGCATAATCTTAGCCACTCTTACTCATATCAGTTTTGAATTCTGAAACAATGGGCGTCCTGCACAGGCTTCCTGGTTCGCACCTCGCGACGGGCTCAATTTACTCACCCACAGACGTGACACTTGTATTCCCTCATCCCAAGGTGCCTTTTGACATGGTTCCTGGCATCGCCAAGCTGAGCTGTCGCGAAATGGCATATCTTGCACTTGAATGGTTTTGATCCTAAGTAAATTTAACACAAAATATGATCTGTGTTTGAATAATACATTACTAAAAGTTTCAAAAGAGGCTCACATCTTAAACTGTACTTTTAACCTAATAACAAATTTCTGTCCGCAAAACGGCGCCCTTGCATTCCTTCGTAACTTGAATGGAACTGCATTACTAATGACTTCACTCTGAAGAAAACTCTAATATTAATCAGTGGATGTTCCTGACTTTACAGTCAAAAGTGATACAACTCACCAATACCAAGTGGATGAGCTAAAAGATGTTAGATACTCGTCTAGAATCACAAAAATGCCTATTAAGGTCATTTGTCATTGAAAACCACTTTTTTAAATCTTGAATACACAAAGAGTAACTGATACTTTTGTATTTTTATTATTCAATTCTCAGGGCCATCTCTTCTAGATCTCCTATTTCTACAGTTACGCATTTATTCACATATTATTCACAAGCTATTCTAGATTCCTTTCTGATATTCCAAGTGATTCACTATACTATTATTCTGAAAAGTATACAACATATACCTTTTTTACATATTTTTAAATATAGCCAATTATTATGTTTTGTGATCAATTGTAGTTCAAAAATTTGAGTAATTTCAAAAACCAAAAGTACTGACATTCTATCTAAAACTGATTTCAAAAACAAATATTTTAGCATAAAAGGCAGAGAAGCAGTAATTTATTTTTTATTTCATAAAGTACTAAGACTATTTTACACTCAAAAATGAGAGAACAGAGTTATCTCAAATTAATGGGTTTACTAAGATACATTATGAACTGATATATAGTTACTAAGACATCAGAGGTGCCCACCTTCACAAGAGGCAAACTCTCCAAAGAAGAAGTATATATCTGTCATTTTCTGAATTTATAATCACTGTATCTTCAAGAATACCAAAATTATCAAAAGAAGCTTAAAATCAGCGCCATTTTTTTTCTATTTTTCTTACCATGTTTAGTAACTAGTCTGATGAAATACCTCTTCCAGTGTAGCCAGACAAAATACAAAAAATGTGAACTTTAATAAATATACAATAAGCTCAAATTTTAAATTTGTAATAAATCATATTTGATCAATGAACCTTTGTGCAATGCCCTTGGGGGGAAAAATCCTCTAATACTTCATTGAAATTGAAGCACTCAGTAAAAAATTTTAGTCTTCAATTTCAATTTAATTCCCAAAAGCTGACAAAAAAAGTGAAGCATTTAATTTTAATCTTCTAACTGAAATAAAAAAGTCAACAGTAGCAAGCATGGGCAGACAAGGTTGAATATTTCACAGTTCAATGACAATGAAGCCAGATCTCTTAATACTTCCATTTCTACTGTTAGCAGTAGATGTAAAATATATTTAGCACCTGAATGGTTCTATCCAGCCAGCTTTATATGTTTAAATGTCAAAAGCAGGTTGAGATGGCAGCTTACAGAAATCACGTTCTATCAATCACATTAGAAACTACCGTTGATTTCAATGATTCCGATAAAACGGAACCTACCGCTACTTGGAAACACTTCCTCTCAACACAGAATTCTATCGAAACTCAGAGGAGTGACAACAATCCGTGTACCCGTGCCTTACGCTAACATGCATCAAGGTCAATAGGGTGATCTAGAAATTTCTCAACACCAACAGCAGGCTCCAGACAGGCGGGAAAGCTCGGCCAACTCGTGGTTTGGAGAGCCCTGCCCAGCGCGGGCGCGCTCCCGCTCTGCTCCCCCCGCAGGGATGAGCTCCTCCTCGCACCGGAGGGGGCCGGAGGGTCCTCGACTGGCCATTCACCCTCCCAACTGGTCATGGCTCCCTGGCGGAGAAGCCCAGCAAGCTCGGGTGTCAGGGGCACTGCGACAGACAAGGGCCATTTCGTTGGCTCCTTTCATGCAAAACCCCGGAGGCCCGAGGTCCCAGGGATCTTGTCATTTCAAGGGGACTATGTGAACATCTCCAGTCTCTGCAGAACATCCAAACATGAGGGGACCAGAAGTATTAACACTTTTCCGCGTAAGAAAAAAAAAAGTCCCTCTTCATTCTGCTGTTTCCATTTTTAGCTTGCTATGTACATCCCAAAATGAAGAGTCACATGTTTATAAGATTTATAAAAGTACATATTTTTGTGCCTGTCTCTCTGATGCAGTGTAATTATTATAGACTTTCAATATTATTTTGGATTAGCAGTCCTTGGGACACATTATCTTCAGCAGGTGGGTCGGGGAGCTCTTTGGGGGTTCATGTTTTTTGTCTGTAATTCAGCCTGTTCCGTTTTCTGAAGGGTAGCACTTCAGAGCCTCCCTAGGTTACTAAGGGCACCTCCCTGGACCCTTGTCCGTGTCTCCTGCCTGCTCTGCGTTCCCACAGAGCTGAAATGTTTAAGTCCTAAACAATCAAGTACTTTGTAGGGGACCCATTGCCTAATGCTTCTCAACTGCTTCCTCAATTCTGCACTCTTTCCTCAGCACTGAATAAATGAAGGCACTCCTTTATTTCCCCATTCATTCATTTAAAAAAAAAAAACACTGCGAGGCCAATACGTGTGGGGAGACGCTGCCCCATACAAGCCAGCACCCTCTTTTTCCTGGACCCCGTGCTTGGCATGCCTGAAGTCTAGGTTAGCCTCCCTGGGGGCAGACACAGCTGTGGAACTCATCAGTCCTCTCTCTGGCCCTCACCGGGGCCCGTCCTCAGCGCACACAGCTCCTGGGGCCCCGCCTGGCACCAGTGGCCAGCACACTTTCAACAGCAGCCAACAGGGCTGACAGCGTGCGGCGGACTTGAGGCTAGCACACTACCTAGCAGGAGAGAACAGGAGCACCTTCTCTGGGCACTGGGAGAGGCTGCGGCATGTGGGCTGCCCAACCGGCAAACAGGGCGTGGAGATGAGATGCTTCTTGCCTCCCATTCCTGATAACCTGAACTCATTTATTTCCTACAGTGCTGCTTTTAGCGTGCTAAGGATGGGAAGGAAAGGTTACGTAAAACAGAGAGTAAATCACAAAATATGAAAACAGGGATTGGAAGAGGAAGCCCTTTCCAGTTAACCATCAATAACGCCCCTTGCATTACTATTTCATGGACATGAGCAAAGTATCAGAAAGGCCATTTATTTTGAGATGCCCAAGAAGGAGCCTTGAATTAAAACTTGGAGAACAGCCTCCCCCGAAAACGGCAAGCAAAACTACGACAGGAGACAGGCAGTGGGTGCTTTGGAACAGTGCTCTTTGTGGCGCCTCAGCCCATAATAAAAATGTACTTGCTGATAAGAGTGAGCCCAGCCCAAGATGCTAAAAAGTATGCTAACTTTTACTAAATGTTACAATCAATGATGTAACTTATGTAAGTAGGGTTCCTTTGTCACATATTGATAGTTACCTCACTTTCACATCCACATTAACTTGATTTTAAATGCAATTAATACATATAGTCAAGGAAGACTAATGGACTACATTCTGCACTTAACCTGGTGGACATTTTCAAATGGCACCAGTGACCAGTGCAAACCTATTTTGCATTGTAAACGACTAAATAAATCTTAATGGATTAAGAATGATCAGCTATCAACACACAAGGGAAATTAAGTGCTGAAATGCCTACATTGATTATTTTAAATTATTAGCCTTACTCTGTTCTTGAATTTGTATGCTTTTAGTGAGCTTTAACACATTTACAAGACTTATTGACTATAATTACAAGAGAATTCAAGTAATGGACACATCAATTATAAGCAACATGTCTTGACCGGACAGTTGCATAAAGAATTCTGAAAAGAGCTCCATTAGCATCTTCCTCTTCGTTTTATTCCGTTTTATCTGCGTTCAGAGGGCATATTAAGAAACTACCTATTTTTTGCACACATGAACAAGCCTGGTCTCCAGAGCAGCACTACGGCAGAAAGCCTGCCGCAACACGGTGAGCCCGGGGCATGAACAATGCCAGGGAATGACGAGCACCGGACTCCCCCTCCCCAGCTCTCCAAGGGGAGGACGCCCCTGACAGCACTCCCAAGGGGCGGAGGCCACGAACGCAGGAGGACCACGTCCATATTCACCTAGCGGCATCTTGTGCAGGTTGCCCGATTACTTTCTTCAATGAAAAACTTTTACCTATCTTTAATCACCCTAAACTATTAATAAGGCTTCACACTCTTTGTCTTCTTACTTGTAACCATGCAGTAAGTTTTTAAAATTGCATGAATTTAAAGTATAGCTTAAATAATAAGCCATTATTTAAAAGTACAGTAAAATAAACCTTACGATTTTAATGAAAATATGTTCATTGAAATGTGAATTTATTATTCAAATCCACTCATAAATTCAACCACGGAGACAGAACTTGTCTAAGCAGAGCACAATGATTTAGAAAAGCTGTCTATTTAAAATAAAGAATGTATGGCAGGTTTATAGAAACAGTGCAGTGAATTTTTACATAAATTTAGAACAGTGGCTTATGCATTTTCTACCCAAAAAAAGTTTTTTAAAAAAATCCCTACCTAAAATTAAATATTAAAATGGAATACTACCTGTGACAGAGCACAGACACTGGGTCAGGCAGCGCCCCCATGAAAACCAAATCACCAGAACATAGTCACTTTGAAAGGTGTCGACAGTTACTGGATCCCTCAAAGCAGAATCTTATTACCTGGGAATTAAATTTGGGATATCAAGTATCTGGCAATGAACAGTTTTTAATCCCAGGAACTCTAAGAACATGTCTACTATTCCATTCTTCAAAGGCCAGTTGACGTCCTCTGAGACTCTAAATGCCATCAAATAGAACTCTTGGCCAAGCAGACAACTAGGATGCTAAAACTGAAAAGCTGAGGTAGGAACTTGATAAAAGCATCCGAGGGACAGGCTTTTTTGAAAGAATTCAATGACATGTGTCAAACAGCGGGCCTCTGGATGGCCAGGGCTCTGCATCCTCAAGAAAGTACTAAGCGTCAAGCAACCAGGCCCTACATCTGGAACGCATCACAGCAAGCAGCACGACCCAGCGAAGTCAACTAGCGAGACAGCGAGGGGACCCTCCAGAGGGCAGGAGCCCAGTGCCCGCCTCCTCGCTCTCGCTCAACCCGGGCTTGCCGCCGCTGACGTACCTGTGTGAGTGCGGATGTGTGCGAGAAAGGCCATGGAGTTGCTGCTACGGCACATCTTCCCGCAGTACTTGCAGACGTTGCCCTGGTTTTCCTCCCTCTCGCGGTTGATCTGCTCCGTGTCCTCCACGATGTACTTGTTCACCTCCCGCAGCAATTCCTCATGCTGCCCTTTAATATGCAGGAACAGATTCTGCTCGGAATCAAAGGGCTCCGTGCACTTGACACATTTGAACGTGGCCCCTCCCTCCGGGAGCTCCTCCACACTGGCCTGCTCGTTCCTCAGGTGGCCCGCGCTGGCCAGGTGCTGGTGGAGGTTGCTCTCGGTGTAGAAGGACTTCCCGCAGAGCAGACAGTGGAAGTGCTTCTCTTTGGTGGGATGCTTCATGGCAATGTGAACGTTCAGTCCGCTCAAGCCATCCGCTAGGAAGCCGCAGTCATCACAACGAATGCGTGTGGATTCGCCAAAGGAACTGCCTTCCGATTTCTTCTTCTTCAAGCCTTGAGCACAGTCTTTGAAAGGGAGCTCCCCAATCCTCACTCCTGTTGCTACTAGGCCCTCTTCAGGCTGGACTACCAACTCACCATCTTCAGGGTTCTTTATTCTGATTATGGAAGAATCAAACCGGCCAAAGCCGTACATGGTCTGACCTTTCTCATCAATACTGATTATGGTTTCATACACATCACCACTTGCTAGCCTGCTGTCAGAAGCAGGGCCATCCTCCTCAAAAACCATCTTATTTTCCTGCTGGGAACTCAAGAGAACCTCCTTATTTTCTGGGGCAGGGCTCTCTTGTGTAGTCTTCGAAGCTTCTGAACTTTGAACACGCCCAACTTTGTTCTGATCGTCGCTCTGCAGGCACACCTCTTCAACTACAGTTCTCACGGCGGTGGGGCTGGCACTTCCGGCCGAACGGCCCCGCTCCAAAACCCCCGCAGAGCCATGCTTCCGAGCGGCCGTGTCTCCACCGTCTCCCAGACCTGCCCCATCGGCTTCACAGTGCACAGCAAGATCATCAGTGTCATCTGACACGTGGTGGTTTCTCTTGGCTGTCTCCTCACTCAAAGCTGAACCTCCTGGGTTCTCCTTCTGAAGTTTGCCTGAGGAGCCAAGATCGGAGGAAGTCTGGAGAGACAGCATCTCCCCAGCGTTGATCATTTTATCTCTGACCAGGGGAGGCTGGAGAGTTTCAGAGAAGGGCTGGTCTTCACTAAGGTGAGACTCTCCTGGAGTCGCCACTTCTGCAGAGAGAGACGCACAGAGAACAGTGGGCACGTCTGAATTATCGTTCTCCTCTGAAACAGAAGGATCTGCAGCAGTGCCAGAGTGGAGAGTCTCGGGTTGTGGGTCTGCAATTACTTGGACCTCCTCACAGTGGTGGTGATGCTGCAACTCGGGCAGGAGGATGCCACTGGCCCCTTCTGTGGGGCCGCCCTCGCTGCCGGAAGAGTCCAGGTAGGCCTGCCGCTTCAGCTTGTGCTTCTCTGTAGCCGCATGTCTCATCATCTCTCGACGGGTCACAGCATAGTAATCACATGCCATGCAGTAAAACGCAAACTCCTTAGTGTGCTTCCGCTTGATGTGCAGTTCTAGAGAAGCACAGGAGTGGGTGTTGAAGTCACAGTGTACGCACTTATTATCACCTGTACCCGCAACATCTCTCTGGGCACCCGCATCCCCGTGCGGGGTAAGGTCATCTGGCTCTAGCGATGTCTGTTCCCTCTTATCAGCGGCGTGACTATTGGCAGCCCCGTCAACAGAAGGAAACACATTTTCAACCTCGACTTCAGCTGAAGTCCCTTGCTCTCCTGCTGGCTTCTCTGAAAGGGCGGGGTCTGATGCGGCTGCCTGGTTGGCAAGTTCATCTGGAAGGGACACTGCAGAACTGGCGTTCCTACTCCAGGCCTCCAGCTTCCCCGCCTCAGGGCCAACGATGATATCGGAACTCTGTTTCCCACTTGCTTCGACTTCGACGCGGCCTTTGTGTTTCTTGGTAGCGCAGTGACGCTCCATATCCCCTTTGGTCACGGTGTAATACTTACACACTTTGCACAGGTAACTGTACTGGTGACTGTGTTTTCGTCTAATGTGGACAGTCAAGTTTGTGATGCTGGAGGCCAAAAGACCGCAATGTGAACATGTCCGGGACATACTGCCTTTGGGCCTGCCTCTTTTTGGAGCGGTGTCCAAAGCCAATTCCTCGTCTCTGACGGCCGTGACTGACTGGGACAGTTCCCTGCTAGTCCGCGTGCTCTTCTCGGGACAGGGATGCTCCTGCGACTGAACGGCATCTCCAGGGCAGCCCAGCCTCCCACTGCCAGAAGTACTTGACTCTTCCTTTTTGTCATTTGCGCCAATCCATACCCTGTCGATGCATTCTTCGAAACTTAAGCCAATGTTGTTCTTCTTGGCGTTTTCGAGATGCTTGCTCCTCTTGATGTGTTTCTCCATTCCCTCTTTGCTCAGTGAATAAAGGTTGCAGGCTTTACAAAGAAAGTGATAGTCCTGCCCATGACGGAGCTTTATGTGTCTGGTGAGCACAGTGGACGACCTTGTTTTATAGAAACACTTCTTGCACTGGAACTGCGGCCTGCTCGAATGCCGCGCGTCGCCGGCCTGGCTCACCCTGGGCTTCCCACGCTCCTCCTGAGCGGTTTTTCCCGACCCCCTCGGAGACTCCTGAGCGCTTTCTGATTCTAAAGTGCCCAAAGGCAAAGTCTGCAAAGCCAAATCGTTTCCAAGTGCTTGAGAAGGCTTTGTCGGGACCAACGCCTGAAGGTGCTTCTCAGTAGTTCTGTGTTCGTCCATGTCTTTCTCCGACAAGAAAAACAGGTTACAAGGAATGCAGAGAAAACCCATGCTGTGCTCTTCCTTCATGTGGTCTCGAAGATTTGTTTCATTCAAGGAGATAAATGAACAACACTGACAACTGAACGCAGAGGCAGTTTGCTGATGCTGGCTACTGTGCAAATGTTCATCCAAGTCCCTCTGGGACATGCAGGAAAAGCCACAAGCCTGGCAGGAAAACGCCATGTCCCTTGCGTGGCACCTTTTCATATGGACCTCCAGTTCAGTCCTGTCCACGGTTATCTGGCCACAGTCTGTACAAGCACACGACATCTGGTGGTCAGAAGCTGGCCGTGCTGTCACAGAGTCCAAGGAACACGGGAGATGGGAGCTTCGTGTGTCCTGCTTTGGGTCCTGGGCCTCGGCGGAGGCCACGCACAGACCGCGGACGCTGCCCCCTGCCTCGGGATGAGGGGGGACGAGCTGTGCGCCGCTTGCTTTGATCTGTGTCCTGAAGTGTTTCAGATACATCCTCTGGGCCTCACTGGTGCCTCTTTTACTGATTCCCAAGAGACCGAACCTTTTTTTCGCCTGGCCTTTGAGGGAAAAAGTGCCGCTCCGCCTCCGGAGTCTGCTCCCCAGGGTGAGAAGGCTGCGCTCGGGTCTCGGCCGCGGGGTAGAGCTATGGCTGGGAACGGCCTGCGAAGGGCTTTTTCTAGGCTCCGCATCGGCCGAAAGACCCTCGGTTGCGAAAGCACCTGAGTGTGTGCTGTGGGTTTCAGGGTCTGCGGCCACGCCGGGGGGAGTTAGGGCTTCCCCAGCAACCTCGGCCTTGTCTGACAAGGCGCTCTGCATGGGCTGTGTGTCCACACGCTGCTGGCCACCCCCTCCGCCGGGTGCCTGCAGGCTTCCTCCCCGGGCTTCACTGTGCAAAGCTTCTGACTCTCCGCTCTTTGCTAGTGGTTTCAGAGCTCTTGGCTTTGTACGAAGAGTCTTTGTCCCTATGGCACAGGGTTTTTTTGGAAACGGCTGTTTTGTTAAGATCTGCACAAATCCTCCCCGAGCAACAAGCTTCTGGCGCCGGAGATGTGTCTTGCCAAGGTAGTGTGCGTTCAGTAGGTTCTCCTCGACACACTGAAAGCCACACAGGTCACAAGCAAAGGCTTTCTGGGGCGCGGGGGTCTGCCTGTCCGGGGGGCCACAGCGGCAGCAGGCTCGCCCCCTGGGCAGCGGCTCAGGACAGTCTGCGTGCCCGGCCACGTCACAGCAGGACGACAACAAATGGCCACACGTGCTACACGCGAGGGCCGGATCTCCGTGCCCAGTGGCACATCCCCCACGCGCCTCTCCCGGGGGGGCCGGGGGCTCTCCCCCTGGGTCCAGGGGCCCCGTCTCCTCAGCAGGCTTCGGTTCGGCGTCTGCTGGCGGAGGAACAGCATCGGCGGAGCTCAGGCCGCAGGGAGGGGACAAGGCACCGGCAGGGCCCGGGCGCCCGCCAGAACAGGCGTCAGGGAAGGGCGTGGGCTCGCTCTCAGCTGTGCCCGGGGCCACCCCCAGGCCACCGACGACCTGCTCCTCGGGGCCACGCGGCTCTCCCGGGGCTAATCGCCTTCGCTTGGCAGCGTGCGTCTGGCCGTCTTCCTCCACAGCAGCGCTGTCCGTGCCGGCCGCTTCGGAAAAGCCCCTCTTGCCTGAGCAAGTCTCGGGGGGCTCTCTGCCCTCAGCCAGAGGCCCGCAGTCCCCAGGGGATGGCGTCCCTCTCGCGCCTTCTGCCGTCCCGTGCCCGTCTGCATCCTCATCCACCTCGGGTTTCTTCTCAGTATCCATCATCCATAAAGTGCCGATGATGTTTCTGTGTCGGGGCCGGCCACCTGGCACTCATCACCTGCGGCGGAAACAAAGGCCATTAAGTGTTTGAACAGAAGAGAGGGACACAGTAACCCAAGTCAACAAAACCTCCAAACACTGAACGAAGAACTACCACGAAACTCACTTCAATGAGACTTTCTACATATTTCAAGAAACTTACGACACGTGTGTAAAAAGCACAGTATCAGATTTGGGGGCAAATCACCTGACCATAGCGCTGAGACTACACGAAGCAAAGCGACAACTTTCCGGATAGAAAAGGGACTGATCTCGCAGTCACCTGGCAAAACTACTCCCATGTTCAGTGCTCTTCCCAGTACACCCCAATAAACAGCAGCACTTGATTCAAACTACATTTCCGCGAACGCCTCGTCTGTTCACGAAGAGACGGAAACTGGTGGGTTACTCGTCCGAAATGCAGGTCTTCGCTTCCTCACCCGCCCCGACAGCAGGAAGGAGACCAGCATCTAAACCCAAAGCTTCCTCCTTTCCCAGGAGCCAAGAGCCTCACACTGAGCCCCCGGATGACACAGCCGAGCGGCACGGTTGTTCTCCTCACATACCCCTTTCCAGTCTGAACTTCTCTGCCAATGAAGTGCCACTCCCGTTCCGGCTATCCGTCGCCAATTTCTTTTTTACAGTCACTTTGTGTTGTCTGAAGGTTAATGGCAAAGACGAATGTCCATGGTTCTTGGAGAAGCGTTAAAGTGAGGGTTTTGGGTTTTGTTTTTTTTTGGGGGGGAGGGTAAATTATTGAACAAAATGTTTTAAAATCAATAACACTGATGGATTTCATTTTCCGCCGTGCTATTTAATTGAATTAAAACCTATCGTTTCCCATTTCCTTCTAACCACAATTGGAATTTTCAGCCAAATGCCATTTAATATTAATAAAATCTATCAAGTATTATGGCCTCAAAGCTCATGACATTATTTTTTAGTAACAAAGGTAAATCAAATAAGACTACTGCTTGATTTTTATTAGTTATATAGGAATAATACACATATGAGAAAAGGAACTATAGATATATATGGCTATTAATACGAAGGTGCCAAAAGTATAAACAAGAATAGAAAACTTGCTAAACAACAAAATTTCATATTAAATAAGAACACTATGCTTCAAAGGTTACTGCACAGAGGTAAAAATTCACAGAATGGGATAGGCTTATAAATCAGATACCCGATGCAAGAATTACTCTGGTGTAATTGAAGATCTCATAACTTAAAAAGATAAGCCAATTTCAGTAAGCAAAGGATCTGATATGCATTTCTCCAAGATACACCAATAAAATGAAAGAAAATGAAATAAACAGCAGACTCTAGGCCATTAACCATGACAATGGACTCAGAAGCACAGTATCACCAGGCATGCGGCACACAGGGAGACCCACTGAAGAAGTCGGATAATTACACTGTTGGTGAGAGCAGCGAGAAATCAATGAGACGACAGCCGAGTGGCTCCTTGAGTGGCAAGACAGAAGCTGCGGAGAGCCAGCAACTCCACAGCAGGCCCACCCCGGCAGGAAGGAGGCCGCGTCCGTGCAAAGGCCGGAACACTGACAGTGCTTGGGGCTGGAGCGATAGCACAGCAGGGAGGGCGTTTGCCTTGCACGCGGCCATCCCGGGTTCGATTCCCAGCATCCCATAGTGTCCCCTGAGCACCGCCAGGAGTGATTCCTGAGTGCAGAGCCAGGAGTAACCCCTGTGCATTGCCCGGTGTGACCCAAAAAGCAGAAAAATAAAAATTAAAAAAAAAAAAAAAACACTGACAGTGCTCTTCAGGGACCAAGCGTGCAAGCAATCAAGTGATGAATAGAGACACGGAGAAGGAAACATCTGCACGAGTCCATTCAGAGACAGAAAGCAGACTGGGAGTTCCTAAGGGCTGGGTCAGGGACACAGGGATGGGGACGAGGGACGAGGGGCAAGATCAGGGATGGGGATGGGGACTGGGGAGAGGGGAGAGGGATAGGGACGGGGGATGGGGGACTGGGATGGAGGAGAGGGATGGGGACGGGGACCGGAGACAGGGAACAGGGGACGGGGGGAGGGACGGGGACAGGGGATGCAGGGATGGGCTGACAGATGACTACCAAAGAGTCTGGGGGGGGGGCAGGGAGGGAAGGGATGAAAATTCCCTAAAATTGAATGTGCTGATGCCTATCTTTAGCTGCAAATATACTTCAATTACAATGTACTTAAATGAATAAACTGTGTACATGTGACTAACAAAAAAGCTGCTTTAACACAAATGTAATCTATAATGCACAAATATCTGAGAGTAAAAAAATTAGTATGCACTTTAAATACACATATGGTGCATAAATCACTTATCGAGAACATACTCCCGAAAATCTAAATCATAGAGCTTAATAAATTTTGGAGGAGAAAATATATCCCTGGTCAATCAGTTTAGAAAATTCTAGTTTGAGCAACTTTCTATATGACAAGAGGTCTCAAGGCATAAGCATTTCCCAAACTAAACTGCTTACAGAACCCTTTATAAAAATAAGCTGTGTTCCAAAAAAACCCTTTAGAAAGTGCTCTTTATCTTTAGATAAAGCATTGGTTTTGCTCTTCTACATTTGTGATAGGAGGAGGAAAGGAAGAGCTGTAAGAAAGCATGAACCTGGCATCTGTTCTAGAACTCAAACTCAGTGCCAGCAATATGCCAAGTAGTCCTGGTCGCAGACATGGAATTACCCCCACAGAACGCTGCCACGTGTGCTTGCACAGTCAGAGGTAAAACAATGCCTTTCTTGTGTGTGTGTGTGTGTGTGTGTGTGTGTGTGTGTGTGTTGCCAAAGACACAGAACCTAGCCCCTCACCCCGTGTGCCCAAGCACTGTGCAACTGTTTTAGATAGATCCACTGTCCAATGCAGAATAACCACCCCAGGCAAGAAAAGTTACAAGGATCAGACATACTGCTGTGCATTAAAAAAAAAAAAAAACTGAAAAGAAACTTGGGGAGAAGGGAGTGGGGGGGACAAAGGAACAAAAATACAATACGCTGAACCCAGGACAATGATCCCCGAGAAATGAGTCTGAGCTTTGCCTCCTGTCCCCACCCAAAGGACCACCAGAGGCCAGGGAGGAAGACAAACCCAGAGAGTGTTGCGGGGAGGCACGCGGAGCTGTCAAGAGAGGGAACACGGCCACCTTCCAGAAAACTGTCTCGGGCCAAGCACACTGAGGCTGCTTCCAGATTCCGGCTACTGTGAACTGTGCTGCAAAAAACGGAGGCGCACAGATGCATTTTTCTGAAGAAGTTCTTGGGCCCTCGGGGTAAGTGCCAAGAAGTGGGACTCACGAGGTCATCTGGAAGCTCAACATGTTTTTCCCCAGGGAGGAGTCTGGCTTCCTGCGCGCAGTACAGCGACATGCACTGTATTGGCAAAGCTCTGTCGCACTGCTGAGCCACGCTGCCTTCCAAGGATATTCCACCATTCCAATCGTGGGCATCTGAGCCGTGTCCACCTTTTTGGCTTCTGAAATAGTCATATAAGTCTTTCATTAAGTACGTATTTTCATTTGTATAAATAGCACAGTGGTAGGGCGTTTGCCTTGCGCGCGCGGCTGAGCCAGGTTCAATTCCTCTGCCCCTCTTGGAGAGCCTGGCAAGCTCCCGAGAGTATCTCGCCCGCACGGCAGAGCCTGGCAAGCTACCCGTGATGTATTTGATATGCCAAATACACTAACAACAAAGTCTCCAATGGAGACGTTACTGGGCCCACTCGAGCAAATTGATGAACAACGGGAGGACCGTGAAATACCTGATAGTGGGGCTGGAGCGATAATACAGTGGGGAAGGCGTTTGCCTTGCATTCGGCCAACCTGGGTTCAACTCCCAGCTTCCCATACAGTCCCCCCAGCACCGCCAGGACTAATTCCTGAGTGCAGAATCAGCAATAACCCCTGTGCATCGCCGGGTGTGACCCAAAAAGAAAAAAAAAAACCTGATAGTGCTCATAATGCAAACGTATATGTTACTTTGTTTTTGGTAAGTGGTTTGTTTAATTGTTGAGGGAGGTCACACCCAGGAGATCATGTATGCTGAGGATCAAAGTTGGGGTTCCTACATGCAAAGCATTCGGTCCAACCCCTTCAACCCGTCTCCCCAGTCCTATGTAACTTTGTGCATACTTCTAAAGGGTATTCAATGATCCACAGCCATCAGCAACGTGATTAATCCATCTCCTCCGCATCATCTGATGCCTTCTAACTGTATTCATTCCGGGGTGTATAGGCCTTTGGCTGCATTTCTCTGCTGGCTGGTGACAGTACTGAAATACTGTTTTTATGTGCTTTACAAAGTTAGGCTTGTCCATATCTTAAATCAGTTGTTTGTCTACTTTCTTACTGAGTTACAGAAATTGCTTATGTATTGTGGATATAAATCCTTTTTTGGATCTATGTTCTACAAATATTTTCTCCCTTTGCATTCCATTAATGTTTTCGTTTGATAAGCATTATGTTTTAAATTTTGATGAAATCACTTTTTTTTCTGTGCAGTTATTTATGCGTCTGGTTTATTTTCTGCCCCCCCCCCCCCCCCGCTAAAATATAAGGGCCTGGATTATTTTATCAGGCCATATATCCCAAGTGCCTAGAAGAACATCAGGCACATACACAGTACTGCAATGCACGACTACCTCGTTATGATGCAAGACAGGGAACTATTCAAACATGAAATGAAAATATCTGATAGGAGCTACAAAGTAGCCCAGAAGAGGGGTCTGCTTCTGCGGGCTGTTTGCTGCTGACGATGAAAAGTGCACAGCAGACCCCGGGATTGGTCGTGTCTTTCCGCTACCTGTTGCAGCAGGCGTGTCTGTCTGAGGCAGCTCAGCGCCAACGCTAGAGATGCCCATTCTGTCAGGAAAGCCCGCGGTCCTCTTCCCACACAACACTCAGGCACCTGAGACAGTGAAGTGTGTGACTTCAGCAGCATGTG